CTTCCCTCATCAGGCAGTGTGAGGACCAGCTATTGAGTAGTACATGAGTGGGAAATGCCATGAATGCCACAGATATCACATTTATCTAGCAATAAACATTTATTTAGCGATATGAGAAAACAACAAAAGAGGAGAAATCTCTGTGCATTAGAATGCCTCCAATATTATATTGTGCTCTCAATAAGAATGTCCTTGAAATTTTACAGCATTGCCCTTTTAGCTCAATTAAGAGGGAAAACATTTCTGAGATTTAAACCTTAGCTTCCAAAGAAAGTCAGAGAGCCTTGTGTTCTCCAAGCAGTACTGCATGCCAAGAATTGGTTATTTTGTCAGCCACACTCCTTGGCCTTGCCTCATTCTATTTTCCTGCTCTGTTTCTATCACTTCTTGGTCTGCTTTTTAGCTGATCTGTGTACTGACCTTTAAAGATCTCCCCACACATTGTGCAGCAGTGTGAGAATAGCACTTTGGGATGGCTCTTGCTTTGAACTTGCAAAATTATCAGATACATAGAGTGCTGAACCATGAAGATTAATGGAGTAACAAGTAGGTTAGCCTTTGTGATGCAACAAATGAAATAACTAAACTGGCTGAAATTCAGCTGGATTTGGGTGCAAGTCTGTGTATGAACATTGTCATTTTGATATCCGCAGGTCATCCTGGACAGACTTGCATACTGCTTCTAAGCAGTTTGAATTGCAACCTATCTACATCACTTTTATTTCAAATTAAACTGGAGTTATATCACTCAGGAACAAATCTAAACCAAGATGAAGTAAAAATACCCTTAATCCAAAATAAGAATGGTTAAGGCAGTTTAATTACATCACTGGCGGCCTGTAATAGAGAAGGCTTACTGTCACGCAATCCTGAAGTAATTTACAGAGATGAAATTCTGAAATAATGTCATTTCCCCCAACCTTCTTTGCACAGAAGGTTTCTTAGATGCCCTGATGTTTTGTTGCTTGTTTCGCTACTGTTAAGAAAATTCTTTTCCTACTAGAGTTGATTTCTGTCCTCAAGTTTCATCTGTAGCTCATTTGAGAGAAAGAAGTTTGTACTGCGTGAAGAAATTTGCCTCGTGGATTTTACAAGGTTTCAGCTCTCAGAGCTGTGACGTGGATTCAGGTCGGATGAGGTATCTCCAGACTATTTTGTTCTCTGGAAGCCCATCTGAAAAAATGTCCAAAGTGATAATTTTACACATATAAGGGAGGAAGATATTATAGCTCTTTAGGCAAAATAGTCAGACAATATCTTGCTTGAGTGCATCTGCAGGATGAAAATACAGATGATGTATCTGAGACATCCTTTGCAAAATGTCTTCACTAAATAAAAAGCTACATAAAGACTCTCACTTTCTGAATGCACTGGAGACAACTCATAGGTATTTGGGTTCTCACAGATCCCCAAATTCATTTTTCAACCACTTCTTTAGCCAGATGATTTCCTCTGGTGATCACTGCTTCCCACAGCAACGCCATTGCACCAGGTTAGGGACCTTCTGGACCTTTGTGACTTTGCCTCTGAGCAGACCTTCCTGTTTCACTCAATGGCCAGGGCACTTCTCCAGCTTCGGAGGCTTTTTTATACCACCTGCTAAGCCTCAATGAAGCATGGGCTCTGCTCCCTACCATGCTGACTGAATGATGTGGAACCTTCATGTGGAAGGTCTTTAGATAAAATGAGCTTCAGCCTTATTGTTGTTTTGTGCGCAGACGTCAAAAGGCCAACCAATTAAAAGGTCATTTTTATCATCTGTTCCTTTTTGCAGGGGTTGCTGTCTCAGTGGGCCAGGACTGGTACTGAGCAAGTGGCTCCCAGTGAGGACCAAGCAGAGGGTGACAAGTCATTATGCTCTCAGACACATCCTCACCTGCTCAGATGACGTTGATAGCAAGATCTTGTGGCATCTGTTCACACCTCGGTGATGACAGCTCGCTACCTGCCCAGCTATTTGAGCTGTCATTTTCCAGCCATGTACAAGACAGACAGAACTTTTGTCCCTTCAGGCTCATCTCTGTTATGTAGGAGTAAAGGTTTGTCTATGTTGTCTTCCTCTTAACTACTGCAGGACAAGAGTGTTTTTTATATTGCTTTAAAGCATAAAATAGATGATGCAAAACAAATCACTGTTGTTGTATATAAAGGATACTCTTCAGTGAAACAGCAATTTTGGTAGTCTACAGTGTATTCACACATGGACAGCTTTTATTATTTTGTTTTGTTGGAGACTACTTCAAAGATGGTGTAATTAAGAGAAAGACATAGTATCTGGGGTGCAATTACCGTGGATAAATTCATGGAGAGGCGTGCACTGAGAAGAAAAGGGTCTGTGCATTGCAGATATGATTGATTATGACAAAGATATCATATGAAGGGTAAATTATAACTGTGAACAAAATGGCATTCAAAAACTCTTGACTTATTCTGCTCTCAGTTTTATGATGAAGTCAGAATTCCACATGCTTTAGGATCATGTCATGTTATGAGGCTGTATTGTGGAAATGGTGGCATATAGAAACTTTTGCTTTCCCTTCAAAAAATCTAGATTATTATTGTAAATAAGAGTGAACTTCTATAATGCTTTCTTGCTAATATGGACTTTACTGATACTAATAAAACAAGGTGCTTGGTTTGCTGGCAGGTCAATAAGCCATTAAAATAATCCATACATAAAGTTAACTGTAACTAGCAGTACAGTGAGGGCCTGAATTTCTCTCAGGGAGACAGAATTAATGCTGTTTTCAATTGGACTGGTATGTACTGTGGGAAAATGAACTAGATGACTACAGGGATTTTTGTTATGCTTGAATTTATGTCCTTTCTGTTTCAATATAAGACAAAAATGCACAGTGCTTTTCCTCTGGTTGTTATTTATATGGTAAATACATATCAGAATTGTTACACTTGGCTTTCCCTGCTGGAGGGCTTGAGAGAAAACTTAGTGACAATTTTTCATGTCTTTCCTACCTTTGCAAAGGAATGGGACCTTCAGGTCCTTAACAAATCCCCAGTTTTCCTCCTGGATGTCCTATTCACGCTGCAGGGGGAGACTTGGAGATCCAGGGCTTTCCTCTCCTTTGGACAGTAATTTGGGTCCTCTTCCTCTACCCATAACCATTCCATCAAGTCAGCAAGACTCTATTGTCTTTCTTTCCGTCAAAATTCAGCAGGATAAGATAAAGGAAATAAGGCTGGTTTATTAAAAAAGAAAAGACGAAGTTTAAGAATTCTTTCCCTTTTGTGAGTAACCATCAAGCTAAAAGACTATAGACAGTGCCAAAAAGGTTGACACGTGAAATGGTTAGTGGCAGGATCACCATCTCATTGCTTTAAAATGTTCCCAAACTGTAGTCATTAAAGAGGTTTTCAAAATATACTAAATATTCAAGCATACTGTAGTTCAGTTACACTGTAAAAGGCCACAGAGAAGAACATTTGATACTGCCCTCATGTCAGATAGAAACATTAATCAAGACTTACACTGAGTAGGAATTCCATCAGAGCAAATAGAGGCCTTACTGCAGAACTCTCCTTGAGATGTGTGATGGGACTGTTCCTGTCTTTAATTAGCATTAATGAACATGCACAAAGTCAGGGAAGAAGTCTTTCAATCTGAGCATGTTCTGGCAGCTGAAACACTACAGGGCACTTCCAAATCTACAAGGACACCCATATGGCCAGTTACACACCTCTCATCGCAGAACATTAGATCATCCAGTGAAAGGACAGCTCACAAAGCATCCAGGACTGCAAATGTGAGCTAACAGCCCTGGTATCAGTGTACACTGCCAGTGATTATCCTGTCAGATAAGGTCTTGTGGAATCAGTTTAGTATTGTCTAAGTGTTCTAATCGCTTCATGTAGGGTGTGACTCACTGAGCACACAGAGGGGTAAAACAGCATTCAGAAGATTGTCTACAATCCCTGATAGGAAGTTGCTGACTCAACAATTTAAGTAATTAGTACAAGAAAGCAACCTTGAGTAGATTTAAAGTCAATAGATTCAAGCAGGCTATTTTCCAGGAGTGCTGAGCTTTTCTGGATCCCATTAAGTCCCCAGCAAGATGCTGTATTCAGCAGTACTAGAGGTCAAAGCAACTTTTGGAGATCTTTGGGGATCCATGACTCAAACACACAACTGAGCTACAAGCAGCAGTGTCAGGCTTTCTTTGGGGTTTTTTTTCCACAGAACTGCAGGGTAAGGGTGCTGATAGAATCCTGTATTCACTGAATCCAAAACTGAAAAATGCTAAGTGTCTGCCTGGCGGAGAAGCAGTGTGGGTCCACTTCTCCATTTGCCTCATCTTCCACGGACTCCTGGTGGGCCGTGCTACTGAATGCCCCTGTCATGGAGCACACAGTCACTCCTACCAGCAGATCAGCTCTGCATGGTGTTTTACAACACATCTCCCTGAAGTGAAGGCCTTGGCCATGGTTTACTGCAGCAGCTCAGGTAGTCTGCAGCGACTCACTAAACTGGTAACACTCAATTGTATGTCTCAAACTACACTCTCCCCCGTTCTGGTAAATATGGTTTATGCTGTCTTTAAGAAATCTGGATTTTAATGTACGTTCCCAATGCACAGAAATTACAGCAACTTCTAAACACATTTTGCTATGTGCCTAACAGGATATGTAGCTTAATCCATAACTGTTCTCCAGCTTGCTTTCAGCAAGCTGGCTATATTTGCATCAGTGCCATCTTGCATTAATCCTACCCACACAGCAGGAAGTTTCTGAGTATTATTAGTAAAACTGCACGTAATTAACATGCAACACCCAGTAAAATCAGCATGGTGTTTACTGGGCAGTGGGGAAGCATCTCAACAACTATTATACTCCAACCAATTTCTTTCAAGCACTTCCAGCAATTAGTTCTGAGAATACTGGAACTACATTCGGATAACGTGCCTCTTTCCTTCTTATTTCTGGTTACATGGTTTATGTTTCAACAGGATTCTTGTGAGATTAAAGCAAGTTTTCCGGAGTGCTCTATCTCTCAGACATTCTAGGAGGCATACGAGGGCACTTTTCCCTTGTCATCCTGAATAGGGTCAGTAACTGTGGTACGCAGGCACTTGAAGACAGTGACCTTTGCAATTGTACCTTTAATCTAACACAGGCAGAGAAAATAAATGTCTAGCCAGAAAAACACAAAAGAAAAAAAAAAGAACTCAGGAAAACCAATGGAAGTAGGCTTGTGAATGTTTCAGTGTAAGGCTGGTGAAGATATTGTAATGAGCCATGTATTTACTTAATCCGGTTCCCAGTACTCACTTTCCAGAGGTCAAGGCTTGGCACATCTCTCTGCCCTTAGAACAATATGAGAAGTTGCTTGAAGCAGTCCTGAGCGCTCTCACCTGGAGATCAAATCACACAGCTTGTGTTTTAAACCTAATCTAGAATTGTTGTGTGAGGCTGGGAGATTTATTAAAGTGCTTTTGAATTCTGGCTAAGGTATCTCTATGAACTTAGCCATAATGGTGCTTGAGTTGCATCTCCATCAGTGCAATCTGGTGGATGGTGTGCTTTCCACATCAGCTATATTTAAACTGCTTGCTGATGAAGCAGATCTGTCTCTGTCACCATGCTAAGTACTTACCTCAGCACCTGAATCCCAGGTTTACATAGTTCCAGGAGATCTGGAAGTGCTCTCTCTGGTGGTGACTTTGTGCTCAAAGTGCAGGATGGAGCCCTCAATAGTGGTGTTATTGCAGTCTGATAAAAGCTGTTTGGCTGTGGTCAGTTCTGCACAAAATGAGGTCCCAGGCATGCTTAGCTCTTTTTTGTCTGTTGGAACTTCACGTCAGTGAGCAGCCCTACTCTTTTCTCCCTGGCCAAGTTGACAGCAAAAGATGACTATTAACCTCTATGTGCATAACTGAGAGATTCCCAGCAGGAGATAAATGATCATTGTATATAAATACAGGCAGTCCATAGTAAGACCCATAGTTTAGTCCCTCTTTCTCTCTTGTCTTATTATCAACACCCTTCCATAGTCCCTCAGTCTCCATCTTTTTGGCTTTTCACTACTCTATCTCTGCTCCCATTTTAGTTACCTTTTCTGGACAGGTACTCAGTGCTGCTGAGATGCTCTATCAGCAGTGGAAAAATTCAAAGGAAGTAATTAAACTGCATATACAACTCATTAATATCACTTATGGGTGTCAGATCAATACCAACAGCAGAGATGTTGTTTAGGAGCTTGAGTTAATAAAATTATTTTGCCTGCTCAACTATGGCCATTTTCAGAGGCAATTTGTTATTTGCATTTTATTATGACATATCTTTTCTGAAAATTCCCATCATGGTGAGAACATTGGGGGACTTAATACTGATGGCCTAAGGTAGTCGTTCGGACGGGTGATGTACAGCACTGGCCTGACAGGAACATCCTGTGACAACACCGCCGAGAGGTGGGATATCCTAGGGACAGACCCACCTCTGCCTCACCCTCTTGCCAACCTCACCAAGTGCCTTCCTGCCTGTTCTGTTGGAAAGCAGAGAATGTCAAGCACCAGGGCAGAGAAAAGGAATATGTGAAAAGCATTTGGGTTTGAAAAACATGTATGTTAAAAAAGCAGTTATTTAAGAAATGATTCCCTGTTTTTGTTTCTCTTTCCAGAGTGCGTGTGGGCTGAGATGTCTGGAGATTTCAGCCTGGCCAATTCACTTTCAGCAGTCAGAAGGTTTGCCGCTCCATTGCCCAGAGGCTAATATTAAATACTTTGTCAGCCTTGGTAGTTCTCATGGGTTTCTTATTCTTGGATCTGCCAAAGTTAAGAAAAGAAAAGCTCTCAGGAAGCTTTTCCCAACAGATCAAGGAAAATATTACTGCCACTTGCATAGCGCAGCACTGAGTCTTCATTGGGAATACTGGGAAGTGGGGCCAGCATTGAAGACATTTGCAGAGCTTAGATTATTAAGTCTGACAGGAAGGCTGAGAGGGATACAATTATTGTTAAACATGATGTGGGGTTAACATCAAGAAAGGAGAAGAGTTATTTACACCAAAGGCTGATACTGGCACACAGTCAAATGGGTATAAACTGATTGTGAATACATTTGGCCTCGGTTTTAGAAGCTTGTTCCTGCTACTCTGGAGCAGCAAAGACTTTAATCAGAATAGAGAGGGACAAAAAATACACCTAGATTTTAAAAATAGTACTATATATATTTGTGGGGTATTTTATGCTGCAGTGCTGCCACAGCAGGGGAGTGAACTCAGTGATCTAGAAGGGATTGCTCAGTACGATTCCTAGTTCCTCACAGTTTTTGTCAGAAAAATAAATTGATAACAACATTGACACTAAAATCACCCCTCAGAGACAATCTTCTGAGTCTGCAGCATACTGAGATGAAAGGTGGGAGATGAGGAGGGAGTTCATCTTTCATACTGCTGTTCATTTACTATCTCAAGTCACAGCAGAGAATAACACCAGTTTGCACTCAGTTCTCACTCAAAAGTTTTTATCCTCTTCAAACACAGAATCTAGAAATGATTTTGTTTAAAAATCAAAGCTCATATTCTGCAGATGTTCAAGAATCTTGGATGGAATGGAGGAGGAACTCCTGATTCATCAATGATTGAACTGAAGTGCATTTGAGTACAATATCATTCATTCATTATAAAAGATAATAGGAGGAGTAGGAACACCAAGAGTAGCTTTTCTCCTTCATTTCGTAGTACTCAGAAAGCAATGATGTGTCCCATTCAGATCTTGGATTTGATATGTAGCAGTATCTGTTCTGCATAAAGTCTTTTCTTAGGAACTGCTTCTGATGAGAACTGGATATATCATTTCAAAGAGCCAGTCCCAGAATTGTTGTGTATCACTTCATAGCGTTTCTGGTCAGGAAATTGAAAAGATTGTGTTCCTGGCAGCCCAGATTTTCCTTTCCTCCTTTCACTTTTTCCCTAAACTATTTCATACTTCAGGAATCAATTTCGGATAATGAAGTCTTTTCCTTTTTATTTTCTCCTGTCATGCTACTTTAAGAGATTCTGTCATGCAGTATCAAAAGAAAAATATTCTCGCAAAGTCTGTGATTGCAGTTTCTTGTTAATTTTATTTCATATTCAGAAATTTTGAAGCCTTTCATGGGATCTTCCCTGTCAATTTCTTCTTTTTAATTTAGCATTCCATGAGTCAGGGCTTTGCGTAACCGTATTTACCAATGACTGCAGAATCATTTATACAGTGAGGAATGTAGTAAGTGCTTTCATTTGTCATCAAAGTATTGAGTTTGAGATGTGGATACCGGAGCAGATTATGTGGCTGAACTAAGACACCCTTTGCAGTTGTGCCATTCTGGACTAATGATTTCTTTTCCTATTTCTACACAGAAGACTGGAAGAAATAATTTGCGTTGTGTTGGAAATCAAGGCAGATGATTACAAATTATCTCGTGCCAGAAAGGCTGATTTTTCAGTGAAGGAAAAGAGCGTTGTTTGCCTTGCCAGCTCATTTTTTTGGAGATATTAATTATTGAACTTTGTCAGCCATATTCATAAGAGGACATCTGACTCTTCCCTCACACAGTTGCAAGTGATAAGTTAGAAAAAGCAGGTTTACTCCAATTCAGGTTCTTACCAACAAACGTTGGTAAGTGTGCAGGCTAATTAGATACAAGTGGCAATAAACTGATGGAAGGCTGGGTTCTTTGTGCCCCTGGCAAATGGCTGCTGCCTTCTGAGCCCGTGTCAGAAGTGGCGGGAAAGCTCTGCCCATGCTGCTATGTGGTGATACTGCCGCAGTTCATAGGAAAGTGTGCCTGCATCCCAGTAAATAAATTATCATCCACAGGCCCTGCCTTTTCTCTCCCCAGGCAGCTGTCATGGGCGGTGATGGCCTACTCTTGCTGTGACAGGAAAGGCACGGGGACGTGGGCCCCTGGGACACGTGTGCTGCTGGGACATTGCTCACAGACCCACAGAGACAGCATTTCTTGCAGTGCAACAGTCACATGTGAGAGATAGCATGAACTGGTCAGAGAAGGCAAGGCAGGATGCAAAGTCTCCATGGGAAGAAGGAGGTGAAGCTGGCAAGCATAGACAGCGTGCAAGGAGTTTGCTCTGTAGGCACATTCACTGGGTCGAAGAAAACTGAGAAATTGATGGGACATTTCTGCAGGAAGATAAAGGTATTTTATGTCACTTACATCCTGGAGAAATGCTCTGTACATTGCATCACTGACTATAAAGAGAATTTTCTCTTTGGGAAAAGAAAAATATATTTAACAATCTTCTTTCCACAGTGTTAAGTCCTCACTTTTTCGTGGTGAGGACTCAGAACAAGCAAAGGCATAAAAAGGCACAAATACCTGAGGAAGATGCAAAGAATTTTTAATTACACCTTTATCTCACCTCAACACTGAGCCCCTTCTGTAGGCTCCTGGGTATTACCCAGCTCCTACCTGAGGTGAAAAGCATCCCTAGTCAGTCTGTGCAGAGCCAGGCACAGACACGCTCAGGATGCTCACTCCTCCTTTTTTAGACATGGACCTCAGATACTGTTGGGGTGAACTTAAGAAGCCTAATGAAGAAATTCCTGTATTTCTGTAGAGCAGAGTATAAGCATTTTGCAGTACGTAACTCATATGGCCATTCCTGCAATACAGATAACAAATCATGAAATTGCTACACGCTGTGTGAGTGTGCTCCTCAGCAAGTCAGCAGGACGAATCTATCAGCTACTTGATCTGATGGGAATATCTCATGATATCTGATGGGCCTGAGAATAAATAGGGTGCTCCTACTGCATCAGATCTATGCAAAGACCTTGCCATACAGATTGGATGTACAGGTTTAGTTCTCTCCTAGAGGGAATAAATTCCTTAATGGACTTTGCAACACTTCTGACAAGCAATTACGTCCAGGTCCATGACATTAAATGCACTGATGTGGCAGCAGAGATCTTGGTGGCTGCCACGAATTGACACTAAATAAATTGTCCAGGATGCTGGGTTGGTACAGAAGTTGCTTTCTTTGAAGATAGCATGATTTTTTTTTCTCTGAAGACTTGATTGGAACAGCAATGCAATTACTTCCTGTTATGAGGATTAATTGACTCACTCTGTTACTTCAAGCCAGTGAAAGTTAAACAGTGTATAACCAAGATGTTATAATTTTGTATAATCAAGATGTTACAATCGCAATACAATCAATGAGAGTAAGGCAGAGCAGACAACGATCACAAAAGAGAATAAGTGGAAGAGCTTACCCTTGGGTTGAGCTCACCAGAAGATACCAAAGAGGGGATCTCCAGAAGAGATCCTTCCCCTCTGGTAGCCAGCTCTTAAATAGGTCCAGGAGGGGTGGAGCCTGGCTCCACCCCTTCCGGCAGCACAGGTGAATTGCCTTCACCTGTGCTCCTCTGGCTGACTCAAGGCTCACCTCAGGTGATTAATCAGAGGTTCAGGCCGTGACTCAGCAGTTCCCATACAAACGGGAACATAAAATCTGAGCACCAGTCACTTATTTAGATCCTAACCTCTTTGTTTTTACCATGTCTCCTTCTCTGTGTGACCCTGCTGCCAAGATGTAGCCGTACTTAAAATGACAACGTTGAACATGTGCTGTGCATTTAAAGCTACATTAAAATAAAGATCCGATCCAACCTGGCAGGGGGGTTGGAATTGGATGACGTTTAAGGTCTCTTCTAACCTAAGCTATTCTATGAGTCTATGAAAGATGTTCAAGATACTCAAACATAGAAAAAATAGTAAGTGGCAGACATAAGAGTTTACATGCATTAAGCTTCAGGCTGCCCCTTTCCAGTTTAGTTGCTAGATCAAATTAATTTAGCATATAATAAATTTGAAGGGGTCATACATACAGGTATAATACTTAAGACTCTTGGCTAGCAAAAATGTGATGCAAAAAGAAGTACAGGTACTTTTACTGACCAAAACCATCCTTTAGAGGGGTTTTAGTTTAAATTCTTGTGAACTTCAAATATTTTTTAAAAGCTCAAAACTACCATCTGTACTCCTCTTGGAAATTTCTTGAGATCATAGATGAGGATCAGTATTAAACACAGAGCATCACTGATTAGTTCCTCAGCACTATGAAGTCATACCCATCATGCATACTCAAAAATAAAAAACAGATTTCTTCAGCTGTTACTTCACTGTGTCTAATTTCACTTCCCTAGTCACAGTTGTATTCTTGCCTGGCTCTGGGGAAGAAGAAGATTGAGAGACAGACCTACTTGGGTTATTTGGGTTTCTGAAATCACTTTGGCTTCCTGCTTATATGGCTAGCATGTTACATCTTTGAAACTGATTGTATGGGAACTGTTGAATCACAGCCTGAACCTCTGATTGATCACCTGAAGCAAGCACTGAGTCAGCCATAGGAGCATAGGTGAAGGCAATTCAGCTGTGTGACCAGCAGGGTTGGAGCCTGGCTGTACCTCTCCTAGATCCATTTAAGAGCTGACTGCAACTGAAGAGGGATCTCTTGCTGGAGATGGCTTTGCTTGGAGTCTTTTTCTATGAGCACAGATAAGCTTTTCCATTTGTTTCCAATTATCTCTCTCCAACATGGTAATCTTTCCAGCTGTAAGCTCGCTGAAGACCAACCTAACTTCTCTGTATACTTGTTGATTATATGCTTATCAAACATGAATTTTACATTCTGTTTTTTTTTTTTGTTGTTGTTGTTTCGTTTTTTTTTTTTTTTAAATCTAAGGAAGCTCTGTAGCTTCTTAAACCTTCTAAAACTTCCTGAGTAAGCTAGAATAATAAAGTTCATTATAAGCGATGTCTCTTCAGATGATGAAAACCCACCGTGTTCCTACAATAATAACAAATAAGCCAATAAATATTTCCTAAAGAAACAGTTAATTCTGTATAAAGAGGAGTGGCTCCTGAAAACAAAGCGCAAACAAGACTGATGCAAGTGGAATTGAAACAGAGAGGTGGATATCTGGGAGACGGGAGCATGTGAATATGGGATGCTGAAAGAATAATTCCCAAAGAAAAATCTCATTTATATCAGGGACGGAGTGATGTTTATAGAAATGAGAAATGTTATACTGGGAATTAGTCTTTCCTGAAATTCATGGGTTGCTCTAATACCTCATAGAATTCTGAGGCTCCATGTTAGCCATAATCACTTTGCTCCTGTTTGTAACCTCATAGTTATTCTGAGCTTCCACACTTTCAGAAAGCATTAAGAAAATGCTGTGTCCTTTCTTCACAGTCAAGCAGCATAAATTGTGCTTGGCTTGGCACTCAGAAGAGGTAAGTGGTTACGGCTAAATCTAGCTAGGAGCTGACATGAAGGACAAATTTGGCCCAACAACTTACCATGTTCCCTTTTTCCAGTGTCTGCACTTGCAGCATTGCAAAAGAGAATTACGCCTTGGTGCTGAGCTCCTTGCCTGTATTTCTACATGCCTTGTCTCAGGCAGAATCACTTGCATATGTGACTTCCTGGAAGTGCAGGGAATAAGGAATGAGCAAAGCCAAAACTGGAGTTAAATTTGCCTTCTGAAAGTGGGATTTAGATGTTGGAATCTTTTATTCATTCGATGGACATAGAAGCATTCTTGTAGCATAAGGAAGCTTATTTGTATGAGTAAATGCTCATCTCCATGAATAAGGCTCTCAAAACGTCATGGTGTGTTTTAATACATAATGAATTAGTGACTTAGCAATGGCACAGTGGGAAGAGTGTGGCTGCCTGAGACTCACACTTGAGGCAGATATGCCATGGCACACCCAGTAAACACTCCTGTGAACAGGTTGTAAATACAAACTATAAAACTAGGAGACATTTAAAGCTTTAAAGCCAGGGAGAAAATAAAACACTAAGCTTGCCTGGGTTAATGTGCCATGACAGCAGAGTTGGGAAAAGAAGCCCTCTTGAAAAGAAGCCTGGGAAGTCCTGGGGAATGGAGGCTCCACACCTTGGAAGCCATTGAGTGCTGATGAGGTTAAAACTCATTTAGGTAACACAAATGTGACCACATACAGCCTCGAAGCAGGCCTGGGGGGGACAAAGCAGCCAAGCTGTGCTTCAGTGACTATTTGCCTTAAGCAAACTCCACAGTGCCCTGCCATGGAGTTAAACAAATAACACCTTTTGTTGGCACTCTTCACCTCGTGAGAAGTAAGTGGCCGTCCCCAGTACTCAAGGGGACACAAAACCTTCAGACCAGATGCTACATTTTTAATCCCCTTATACCTTTTCCCCCATAGGTTGGATTTGTTCCCTGGATGAAGTTGGAATTGTCCCTTGTTTGGTTTTGGAGGTGGAGCATGATAAGCCTGGACCTGGATGGGCATGGATGCACACTGGATTTCCAGCACAGACCTGCACATTGCCCTGCTGTGGTTGGTGCAGGACACTGCTGTAAAAGGGGAAGAAAAGAAAAAAAAAAACTATCTGAGCTAGTTGTGTTGGGCAGGAATTAATTTTGCCTTTTATAACCTGCACCACTACCCTGGAGTGACCCAGGGCCAACTCAGGCACCCTATGGGAGAAAGCAGGCACCCTTGTGGGAGAAAGAAAGCAGGTGAAGAAACTGTCCAGAAAGATGCATCAAAGCCTCTTCTTTAGCAAACATGGTTTCTTTTCAACCTGTGTCTTTGCTTAGTCTGTCAGGGTGATGGTGGTATTTCAACATCTGCTTCATTTAATACTGGCTTTTTTAATATCATAGTTGTGTCTCTTTTCTATTCTTACAGTGCAGTGTATTCATGCCGCAATCCCGTAGCTAGGCTTCGCCATCCAATATAATTAACTGTGCATTAATTACACTATGAACTGGCTGGAATTTATAATTGGTTTCCACACTTTCCCAGCAATTCATGACCGAACTATACAACTTTCATTTGGTTGTGAAGAGGCAGCAACACAGAAGATGCAAAGTAGTACAGCAGTGCTATTGCTGCTATTCTAGCAAGGAAATGTATGTAAAATGTTGACATCAAACACAGATAGCTGAAAAATGCCTCTTCCTGAAGTCTGGGCTGACATGTTGCTCAATGGCAGCCACATTGGCATGAGTGAATCCTTGTTCCAGTGTAAGCACGCTTCTGATCCTTACCTTCGGAGTGAGTCCTCAGTTCCATAGGGATGAGCTGCAGTATAAAATCTGAATTAGATTGTCGCCAGCGCTGATAATTCTAAAGCTCTCTCCCAACATAACTGCACTACCCCTTGTTAGCCAAGGAGGACAAGCCAAATCCAGCACCTCACCAAAGGGAATAAGGCAGCTCCAGGGGTACTCAGTAAATGAGAGGACTGATCCTCTCCTGCTGGCAAGCATCCCAGCTGCTACAGTGATCTTGTGGGGAGCCTCACAAAATATCCCCACATCAGTAGAGACCTCTGCGGAATGGAACAAGATGAATTTTTCTGTAGAAAGGCTACTGAGCAGCTCAGTTGTTTGGGGGATATGATCTCAAGGCATCACACAACATTTCCCTTCCTTCCTGGCTGGGTCAGAAATCCCCTGCAGTAAATAAAGTCTTTGTGGTGCACCAGGTGTGCTGACTGCAGACTGAAGCATGCACAGCAAAAAGCCCAGGCTGAGCAAGGCTTTCTGAGTGTTGGGAAGGCTTCGTTCAGGGTTCAGGCTATGGGGAGGATGATCTTGTACCTAAAGTATTCTGTACGATTCAGGCAAGCCCTGGCTCTTTCGCAGGGAGCGGCAGGGGTGCATTTGTAATCTTGTGGGAGGCAGTGCTGCAGGCCATATATGTAGATAGAGAGAGGCTCAAGAGAGCAGGATTTTTTGATTTATCCCTGCTGGCTCAGGAGTACATCTTAACCCTTCTGGTGTTAGCCCTTGCCAGTGCTTTCCCTTTGCCCCAGCACAGCCCTCCCTTCTTTCATCAGTTGTGCTTCCCTGCTGTTTACACAAATCGCAAAGGCAACAGCAGAACAAATCTGTGCAAACAAACAGAGACTGCGTAAATGCATCCTGAGATGAAAAAAAATCCCCGAGGCTCGCCACCGTTTCCTAGAGAAAGCTGGAACAGAGCGTAGGGCTGCAGCCCTGGAGGATGTGAGCTTTGATGGCAGGGAGGTTTCTGATGCTCAAGGGGTTCGTCATGGTGCTGCCCTGCCCTGGCTACCAGCAGGAGGGCTTTCATCACCATATTTCACATGCATATATATGGGATGCACATATGGGCAGGGTTTGCCTTGCCAGGCAAAGAGAGTTTGGGGATGGGTACTTGGGAGGAGGAGGGAAGGAGAAAAGGGAGCTCTGCTGCTCAGAGGGCTGTGAGCTGGGAGCA